CTCTCATTCTCTCTCTCAAATAAATAAATAAAAAAAAATAACAACAACAACAAAAAGGAAGGGATATAAACAGACAGGTTTATATACATTGAGAGTATAGAATGTAACTGTAAAGATGAAAATTAAAAAAGACTAACAGAATGAAAAAAAACAAAGGAAAAAAAAACAAAAAAGAATATGATCAGACAGGTGAATAGAACAGAGTCATACACTAGATTTTGGGTGTATTTTGGTCTGTTAGAAGAAACTGCATCTCAAAATTGTAAAGAAAGAAAAACTTATATACATATACAAAAATAAAAATAAATACAATGAAGGGTTGGAATGTAAATGAACATTTAAAAAGATTTTTAAAAAGAGTTGATAAAATAAAAAGTTGGTTGAAAAAAGGAAAGAGAAAAAATTTAAAAAAATTAAAGTTGAAAGACTAAAGAATCATGGGGGAAAAGCCATGAATTCTATGTGCTGTATTCCCCTAGTGCTGGAGTTTTGCAATTCTCATTGATCGGTAAACTTGGTCTTGGCTGGATGTTCTTGCTGATCTTCTTAGGGAGGGGCCTGTTGCATTGATTCCCAAATGTCTTTGCCCCAGGTGGAATTGCACCATCCTTGCCAGGCTAAGTAATCCCCTCCGGTTTGCTCTACATGGCTTTTGTCCCCTGAAGGCTTTCTGTACAGCTTTAGAGGATGAGAATGAAGATGGTGGCCTCCCAATCTCTGGCCTGGAAGGAGCCAAAAGCTCATGACCCCACTCTTCAGTGCAAGCAGTCAATCACTCCTGTCTCCCTGGTCTCTGTCCACTCTCCATGTTCACCCAGCCTGTGAATGAGAATTTCAATATCTGGCACATGATCCTGTTTCGAGTCTCCAAACCCTGCAGACTCCTGTGGTGTGCTCCTGCACCACTCCTCCCTGGGGAGGAAGGGGAGGGGGGAGGTCTCACTGGTTCTGCCTTGTGTTAGGCCCCTGCTCAGAGAGTCGTCACCCAACTGTGCTGCGGATCACAGTTTATGGTAATCCCGAGCTGAGAGCCCACTCCTGGGCTCACTCTTTGCAGGTGGCTCCCCACTCTGATGCCTGAGAGCTCTGCTGTATTTAGGCACCCCAGGCTTCCTGTGACCCTGAGGATCCTGAGACCACACTGTCCCACCTATGATTCCACCCCCACTTCACCACCTGAGCACCTTTCAGGCAGTGGCATCCTTCACTGGAACAGACGTCTAAAAGTTTCGATTTTGTGCTCTGCTGCTCTATCATTTTCTGGTAACCGGCTTATGGAGGCTCCCTCCCCCTGTGGTTTATCTTCCCATGTATCGCCCTGGATTCACTTCTCCACACGTCCTACCTTGCAGAAAGTGGTCACTTTTCTATTTGTAGAGTTGCAGCTATTCTTTTCTTCAATCTCCAGTTGAGTTTTCAGGTGTTCAGAATGGTTTGATAGCTATTTAGCTGAATTCCTGGGACCAGATGAAACTAAGGTCTCCTACTCCTCCGCCATCTTCTAGCTACTGATTTTAGGTAGCAAAATGATTACTAATATTTATTTAGCATCACAGTATTTGTTATGGGACAGACTCAGGACAGCTTCCCCCTCAATGCAAATGTTCCTTGTAAACTACCCGGCTGAATCCTTTTGCAAATTCCAGACTGGGCTTGCTCCTTACTCATGGGACCTGTCACCATGGGTGATAAAAACACTTTCGTTGTTTACTTAAGGATTAGGACCATGTGGGCACCAAGAACTGGTTGTTCATTGTTTACCAGCACAGCTCTGGATTTCACATTTGTATAGTAAAACTTCAGTATAGGCCAAAAAAAAAAATATATATATATATATATATATGAACAGTAATTATATTTGGGAAAAGGAACCCAAAAGATGGAGAAGAAAGAGGTGCCTGGGTGGCTCAGTTGTTAAGCATCTGCCTTCAGCTCAGGTCATGATCCCAGCATCCTGGGATCGAGCCCCGTGTCAGGCTCCCTGCTCAGCAGGAAGCCTGCTTCTCCCTCTCCTGCTGCCCCTACTTGTGTTCCTGCTCTCACTATCTCTCTTTCTGTCAAATAAATAACAAATAAAATCTTAAAAAAAATAGAGAGAGAGAGAAGAAAGACTTACTTTTCATTTAATCTTTCTATATTTTTCTTAATAATGTGAGGATAATGGGATTATGGGCCATTTTGGTTTCCTTTATATAAATTATATATAAATTAGAGTCTTTTTAAAAAAATATTTTATTTATTTATTGGTGAGCGAGAGAGTGCAGAGCAAGAAAGAGAAAGGACAGAAGTAGGGGGGCTCGGGGGGTAAGGGCAGAGGGAAAGGAAGAAACAGAAGCAGGCTCTCCACTGAGCAGGGACCCCGGGATCATGACCTGAGCTGAAGGCAGACGCTTAACTGACTGAGCCACCCAGGTGCTCCCAGTCTTTTCTGAACTTCTTAAACCTTTTGAAAATGACTAAAATTTAAACAAAAAGAATGCTGCTATATATCAACTGTTTATATGGTAAATATTCTTTGTAAATCCTACTGTTTTTCCTTCTTCAAAATAGGAAATTGTGTAAGCAGCAGAATTTTCCCATAAGTCCTGAATTTCACTGAGGCTAACTAGTCCTGCCATCTATAATAGGTTCTTAAACCCAGGACAACTCCCTGAGCATCACCATACGTTAAATATAATACCATGTACGTGTGCCACTGCTGAAGTCACCCGGCTTCCTCCTCTGGAAACACCACCCACCTTCAAATCTCTTGAGTGGGGTCTTGCTCAATCTCATCGAATCTTTCTGTTAGGGCAACACTGAAGAAGGCTTTCAAAAGAAATCCAGAGCCGCTTTTGTTGGTGCTCGCTCATCATATATTTCTATGTTTCTCCTGTGTAACACACTGACCGTACTTAAGTTCAATTCGCTGCACTTAACATGGACTTAATTTTAAGAATAAACTTTTCTTAAGTCTGAAAAAAAAAAGAAAGAAAGAAACAGATGGGCAAAGTGTCAACGTTTCTGGCTCTGGACCCAATACTACCTCTTGCACATTTGGTTATCTTCTGTAGTTCATGAACCTCTGCGGTTTCATTTTCTCCATCTAAAATCCAGAATAGTGATATGGTTTGCTACTTCCCGGATAGTACCCTAAACAGCCATATGTGAAAGCAAGCTGAAGACAATGAAAGATTGACACAGATAGGAGAGAGCCCGCAGAGAAATGCTCATTTATTTATTTTTTTTAATCTTAAAGAGGCTTCTCACAGTCAAGGGTATGATTTGTTTGTTTGTTTTTTGTTTTCAGGGTGGGAATTCATTCTTTAAGTGCAGGATTTAAATCTAGAACTATTGACAGGTCTGTTTGTTGTTTTGTTTGATTTACTCTTCTGTTAGAAGTCATGTATGTGCAACACTTTTTTTCAACAACTTTCTTAAAGCTGGAGCCGAATTTACCTAATTTACTCCAGTGATGGTTACAAAAGCACAAAGTGTGAAATAAAAATTAGTTGAATATATTTCTATGATGTCATCTAAATGTTTAGAAAATAATTAACTGATTGCTTCTGGCTCACCTATAGCCTCAGTTACCGTGGGCTTTAAAATGCTGGCAACGTGTATGAGGGCACCTCACATGCACATACCCTCCCTCCTGTCCTTGGGAAACCACACCTGCTGTTATTTTCACTGGACACTGGGTGTCAGTAATTTGACCTGGGGACTTGGGGAAAGGAAGAAGGGAGATGGGGGAGGAGACCACAAATGAAGAGACACCATTTAGATTTTACTGTGAAAGGAGCTGACAGGGCATCATGGGGGGAGGGGACGCTGCAGTTTTGGGAGGGGGAGTTGTCCTGGGCAGGAACCCACAGCAGAGGCCATGGGAGAGTTGGGCTGCATTTTCTCTCTCCAGGGTTAGCTCTTTTGTTCCTGCCTGTCTGTCTCACAGCTGTGAGAGTCCTTCAGGCAAGAAGCAACAAGTTGCAGGCTGGGGCTGCTTCATGAAGTATCTTCTGGGAAGGGTGGTTTTGGGGGAGGGGGGCGGAGGGCTCATGAAGCTCTCTCCTGGACCCCAGTTGCCACCTGCAGACTTTCTTTTAGTGGAATCCCCCACCCTGTTAGGAACTAGGACTTGAGACTTGTCCACCAGCCCTCCCCCTGCACTGGGCACTCTCCATCTGAATGCCTGGCAGCCAGGCTTTGGGTCCCTGGCCCACCGCCCACTCCGGCCTTTCCCTTTTGTTGCCCTCAGGCCTGTGTAATTGTGAGTCAAGTCACTGGGCAACCAGGTGCCTTCAGAAAAGCCCCATGTTCTCTGGCAGCTACTGTTCATTTCAGCCAAAGCTGCCAAGAAAGGAGGGCATCAGGCTGAAGGGGACCCATCCCAACTTCCTCCCAGCCCCAGAAGGAGTCAAGCTCCCTTCAGAAAGGCTCAGATGGAATACTCTATGGGCAAGCAAATACCACCTCTCCTCTGCTGAGGTGGGAGCTGGTGGCTCCTCCCTGTGAACCACGCATCTCAATGTCTTTTCTACAAGTGAGTTTGACAGTAAAAGGACTGTCACTGTGAACAGGTGGGACAGAAGTCTCCTTCCCTGGCTTCCGTTGCTGCTGCTGGCTCAGGGTCAGAAGAACAGACAGGTGAGAACTGCTCTTCCTTCCACCAGGAAAGACTAAACTAAGGCAATGCTTTGCACTGAGCCCTGGGGTTTTGGGGCTTCAGGCACTAATATGAGATCAAGTCTCTTCTCTTTCTAACTGCTTCTCCTCCGGGCCATAAAAACTCTTTCCTTTTCCTTTCCCTTCCTTCTGTCCTTTCTTTCTTCCCTATATCTCTCTCCCTCCCCACCACCTCTCTCTCTTTCTTTCTCTTTCTACCTCCAAGCTCCCTTCAGGAGTTGCTACACCTTCAGATTGGGACATCCTTCCTCATTGGCAAACCTCAGCTGTGTCTGGGGGCAGGGCTTCCGTGGAGCTGCCAGGAGCAGAAAGAAAGGCTCCCAAGTAATAAGTGCTACATCACATGTCAGATGTAGGGAAACTGCGGGCAGATCAACTGGGATGTGCCGGTTACCAGAAGGCTCCCTCCCCAAAGGACGTTGAGGATCAAAGCTGACGTTGTCTTTCCTTGGTAAATTTTGCATGGTTTGGCGACTAAAGCATATCTGAGAACAGGTAGGACTGAGCTCAACTTTGCCTTATTTGAAGAGCTTCAGGTCTGTGGATTGGGGGTGGGGGGGGACATCTAATTGAAAATCCAGGCACATGTGTCTCACAGCCATGTGGGCTGTGAAGGGGATGGTCCATCAGGCATTTGGAATAGGCTTGATTTTGGAATGCAGTGGATCTGATTGCTTCTTGGCAGCTTTCCTTTCCCAATTATGCTTGGCTTAGTCTAGTAGTCAAGTTACTTTACAGTCCCTAAGCTGATCCAGAAAGCCTATAGGGAGGACAGAGAGGATACTGTCTCAAAAGCAGACTGGGTGGTGGGAAAGGGAGGGTTCTGGCTGGATTTGGAAACAGTCACTGAATAATCCACAGCCCAGCCCAAAGACAGAGACTGCGTATTATACCTTGGCCCTTTGTTAAGTCCAAAAACTTAATGGAACATGCTTCTCTAGAATACTGGTCAATTAAGACCGACCTTGTGTGTGCTTTCAGTTGTTCCCCAAATGTAGCTCAAGAAGAGACATGACAGGTATTATGAATTGATTTTATTATAAAACATAGGATTTCTCATAACAAATATATGTCCTGGTTCAATGATTTAGAAATCTTAAAATCTAGACCCAGTATGCTGCATTACCTGTATAGTATAATGTATTATATATATTATGTATATATAATGTATAGTATAATTACATTATACTTTGATGTAGGAGTTTCGCTCTGAATGTGGTAATTCTACCAGAGTAAAGCTTTTTATAAAAAGTTTTCTTGTTTATAATTTAGGAAGGAAGTGTTTACACAAAATTTGATACTTTAAACAAGGTAGCAGGCAGAATGGTAAACCTACTCAAGAGAATGGAGACTGTTTTTTCTAATGGCTTTATAGAATTCATTATCCACAGGAGTATATTCATGAATTATTAAGTAGCTCAGCCACTTACTAAATCAAGATTAAAAAAATTAAAAACCACAGGCTCTAAGTTGAAGGCCCTTAGGTAGCAGGTGTAATGAGTAGAGTGTGCATGTATTCAAATGATACTAATGTTCGAACACTCAGTCACTCAAATACAGTCTGGTCAACCTTTACCTTACCAAATGGAAATGAGTTGAGTTTTATTATTTAAAGGTTGATATATAAAAGAATAGTAATACTTTCTAAGCCTTTATGGTGTAATGTCTGGAAAACTTCCTGTCCTCTTCTTGCAGTGATGAAATGTCAGATAGTGAAGTCAACTAATGACCAACAAACATGAGATTTGGCCACTATTTTAATAGTACATTTTTGGTAAATTAAAATTATTGCCTGGGAAATTTTTCAGCCACAGGTTCTCCGTGATGTAGTTCGGTGTAGTGGTGGGGTTCCTATTTCCTCTGCTTTCAAGTCAGTTACTTCACCTGTCCAAACTCAAGGTCACCTATAAAATAGAAGTGATAGCACTAAACCCAGTGTTTCTGGAAGATTAAATAATTAATAGAATCAAAAGCACTAGCAGAAGGGCCAGAACATAATAAGTGCTAAATAAATGATTTTATACATATACCACACACACACACATTCCCATACAATTTGCATGTTTCTTGCATTGTGATCATTTTCTGATCCTACCACCTAGAAGCAGGAGGACAGACACACTAGAGAATCCTGCTATCTGATCATAGCAGGTCTGATGACTTAACCTGAGGAAGAGAAGATGGAAATTAACAGATACTGACATTCGATAACATGAGTCCACTCTATTCTTTCCTTCTCTTACCAAAAAAAAAAAAAAAAAAAAAAGTCAAAAATTATAGCCTTTTGTTATAGGGGTCAGTAATCTATTAGATGAATCAGCCTTCTCAGATGTATATTATTAATTTCCATTGATTTAAATTTTACGTATAGTAACTGTGGAGCTTCTACATCAACTTCCTGAGAACACTATCTAAAACCCATCATACAAATTAGTACAATTAATTAGTGTTTGAGGAAATTTTGCACTCTCTTTTATTAGAACTAGGAAATGTTTACTTTTTATGTGCACAGTGAACTGGCAAACCTAGGTTTGGAGCAACCTCTCCCACTAGCCAGCATTGCGGGCTTGGACAAATCACACCCAGCATCTCTGAGCTTCCATTATCCTTGCATATCAGATGAGTGCACTGAGCCCATTGATATCATGAGTTGTTTCTTTCAGGCTCTGAGAGTTCTAGTTCTAAGTTCTTTTATTTCCAAGATCAATGCATGAAATAATTTTCAGAGCTATTTTCTTGAGTTTCTAAACAGTGCTAGAGAAAACCAGCTGAAAGAACTTGAGTTTATAAAATTTTTAAAAAGACAAAACCACACCCATTGCTGAAGTGGATAATCTCTAAAACAGACAATTTAGTTGTGCCAAACAGGAGTCCCAAATAAACTTCCATAACTCTGAACGGGAAAAATATGGTGAGTCAGTTAGGAAGGAACACACACACACCACCCCCCTAAGTGATGGGATTAAATTAAAAGAAATCTGTTCTATCAGATTGGAATCCCCTTAATCCAAGATTTGTTTTCCAGGACAAGCAAATCTGCTCCCTCCCACCCAAACCAATCTGATATTTCATAAACCAAATTATAATTGTAAGGAGAAATCAAATAATAATTAAGTCCTAAAATAAACATTTTTGTTTTATAGGTGCCCTTTAATTTAGCAAAGAGGACCCACTGGTAAAATATATATATTCATCTGTATATGAATATATATATTTATATTATATATAAAATTATATATATAATTTTATATATATAAATAAAAATTTATATAAAATATATAAAATATTTATATTATATATAAATATATAATACATAGATATATATATATATATTTTATATATTATATATATATACACATATATGTAGCTAGGAATACTACTTTTTTCTTTTTCTCTTTTTTTCTCTTCTTCAAAGAAACAGTAGTTTATCAAATAGCTACAAGTCTATGATGCTTCATCAGGGCTCAATTTTAACAGGTCATGTGGGCTAAATAGAAAAACGGATTTCAACAAATCACACTTATGTACAAGCCTATAAACTTTTAGAAAGAATTTGCCTTTAAATGCTGATGATCCTTGATCTTCCTTTCTTTTTGAATGTTCATCACATTTGCCCCAATAGAGCTTTAAGTAAAACAAGATGAGTTAAAGAGGGAAACCATATTCCCATTTCTCTCTGTTTTTGTTAGGATTACCAATCACATTTTGTCATAAACTGAGAAAGGGATTGTGAAGAATAGAAATGACCTGACAAGCTCCTTCATAGATACCCAAACAATTTAACTTCAGCAACACCCGAGTCTTTCCAGTTCTTCCACATTCTCCCCGGTGCCTCGGGCAGCTCCCATCAGCCTCTGGTCCCGACAGTGCCTCCTCTCTTGAAATACCCTCCCCAGGATCTCCATTCGGCCAAACAGGCTGCAGGTTTGGGGGGTGGGGGGCAGAGTCAGGTTCCCCTATATCTGGAAGTGTGGTTTTTCCTTTCCAGTTCAAACATGTTAGATAGATAGAACAAAGAAAGAAAAAAAGAAAAGAGAGAGAAATGGAAAGCTTCAGAGGGCAGGTTGGAATGTAATTGATGTTGGTTGGTACAGATATCTGTGAGGCGTGATCACTTTAACAGTAAGTGGGATATGGGCACAGTGCCATCTTTAAGTACAGGGACAATGTATATTATAGTAGAAAAAATGTGTTCACTTAGAATCAATGTATCAAGTTTCAAGTTTTATAAAAATCCTTTCAACCAAAACCTTTTCAAACCCGTTAATGAACCCATTATAGAAAATGAGTGAAGGGGTGCTTGGGTGGCTCAGTCAGTTAAGCGTCTGCCTTCGGCTCAGGTCATGATCCCAGGGTCCTGGGATTGAGCCCCACATCGGGCTCCCTGATCAGCGGAGAGCTTGCTTCTCCCTCTCCCTCTGTCTGCTGCTCTGCCTACTTGTGCTCTTTCTCTCTCTGTCAAATAAATAAATAAAATCTTAAAAAAAAAAAAAAAGAAAATGAGTGGAGTCTGAAATATACACCGACACTCATGGAATTTTAATGATAAAAATAAATGAAAAGAATTTATTTTTTTAATTGTCTTACTCTCTTGGAGAACTTAAGATGGATTCTGCTCCCATCTGTATGCTGATATTCCCTAGCCTCTTTCTTCTGCTGCTTATTCAGGTAATTGCAGTTCATTTTTCATTGGGTTGTGATGAAGATTCATTGAGTTATTGTATGTCAAGCACTTCGCATATGATTGGCATGAAGAAGACATTTGGTAAATGTAAACTTTTACTATTAACTAGTATTGTAATCTTACCAGCAATATAATTAAAACCAATATTCTTATTGTACAACCAAACTAGTTATTTTTTCTTAAGATCCTATAAAGTTACCACTATTCTTCCAAACTCTCAAGGTAAAAAAAAAAATTAAAAATTAAAAAACTTCTTTCCTCAGGAAGATACTAATTACTCTTTTCCTTATACTAGAAATGTTACATCTGTGCTATATTGTATAATTTGAAGTCCCACATTGTGAAGGACATTTAAAACTGGAAAGTAACCATGCATCCTGAAAGGTACAGAATCAAGAGATCACATATAAAAAATAGGCTGAAAAATGGAGTAGATTTAGAGAAGAGAGGGAATGAAGGAGACAGGTGATTTTAGTTCATTCTATCTGAAGGACTATTACAGTGGGATAAATACATCCTATACCATTTTGAAATCAGATCAGGGCCAATACGTCAAATGTATTTTAAATGGTAGCTATGTTGGGGTGCCTGGGTGACTCAGTGGGTTAAGTGTCCTGACTCTTGATTTTGGCTCAGGTTATGATCTCAGGGTTGTGGGATTGAGCCCCACGTCTGGCTCTGCACTGAGGGTGGAGCCTGCTTGAGATTCTCTCCCTTTCCTTCTCTCTCTGCCCCCCCCCCCGCCCCCCCCCCCGCCACACATAGCTATGTTCTCAATATAAAGAGGGTGAGCTTGAAAGCTACATATGTTTATTTTGTGTGTGTTGATATTTTGAGGTGTCTTTTGCCTTTGATTCTTGGCAAGTAATTTTAGCAAGTGAATAATCCATCAGTTTATAAATAGATCAGGTTAAGTACCAAAACGAATAAATAATGAGAAAAACATATTAGGATACATGCATGTATTTTTTTTCCCCTGTTTCTATTTTGCCTGTGGACTCTCCATTATCCATGTTGATATTTATTTGCTATGAAACCAGAACTTTTTCTGTCTCTCATCTGCTTGCCACCCACTGAAAAAAACATAGCCTTGTACTGAGAAGACTTGTTATAGCTTCATGTCTGGTAAACATATCCACATCTCCACATGGCTATCTATAGGAACAAGGAGTTCATATGCCTTCAGAAGCATTGATCACATCCTGTTAAGACTTCCTCAAATAGACATCCTCTCTAAGCAGGTGTCCTGGAACTTTTCAGACAACTCTCAGTGCTATTTTCCCCAGCCTTATTTTCTTGTTTACTTTCATAATTATCTCACTTTTTTCTTGAACTCTGGAGCTTCATGGTGAAATCTGAACTTTCTGATACAGGATTTCAGACAAAAAGAAGATGCTTAGTATTATTTGAATAGGTTTAACTTTATATATAAGGAGAAATGAAGAGAACTATTTTCCGTATTTAAGTATGATTGTCTACCACTGTAATAAAAGCATGCCTCAAGGACAGCAAATTCTTGCCTGTGGGCTGAGTATGGCCTACAGCCTGCTTTCTCCAGCCTGTGAGGTAAGGCTAGTTTTTACATTCTTAAAAAATTTAAAAAAAATAAAAAAGAATATGTGCTAGGGACTCTAGATAGCCTGGAAAGCCAAAAATATGTACCGTCTGCCCTTCTATAGGAAATATTTGTCAACCCTGACTTAGATAAAGAGTTGCTACACATCTCCTTTTTGCCCTTGTGTACCATGTTATTTAAGGATCTGATTAGATTATTCTATATTTACTGGAATCATCACTATCCTCTGAAATCACACATAGAAAAAACCTGCCAGCTTCCCCTTCTCCCATCAGGGAAATTAAGCACCCTACCCATTCCACATAGAAACGTATGTCTGAACTTTCTGAGGTCCCCTTACTTGAAATCTATGAGGTAAACACCCAAGTTTAAACTAATAATATTTCCGATGATTTTTCTAAGTCATAGTGCTGCCCTGTTTCTATATAAATTATTAAGAAAAAAAATGGATGAGAGTTCCTGAGTAGGCATCACCACGAAGCCCTATGAATTGTGTTTCTCTTTTATCATTAGGTAACTTCAGTGTGGTTGAGCTAACTGGAGAAAGCAATCTTTTCTTGTCTTGGCCCAGCTTCATAACCTGACTAAATAATCCAAGTTAATGATTTGAGGAAGTATATGTAAAACAATCACCTAAAAGTTGTTTTATTTTAATGTAGTGTAAAGTATTTTTGAAAGTTATGTTAATGGTACATAAAGTCTTCCTATCTGTAAGTTCAAGGAAGACAGGGAGCTGCTTTGTCCTGCTTGTCATTGAACCCTCCAGTGTCTACTGCAGTGCCTAATACAGAGAAGGAATTTGTTTAGCAGTCACTGTGTGTGTGTGTGTGTGTGTGTGTGTGTGCGTGCCTCCCCTTCATCCCAAGACAGTGAGGTCTTGTTTCTATCAGCACATGTCACCTTCTGTTAATGAGCTAATCATTATATGGAACAGGTTAAGAAGTTCTCCTTCTAAAAAAAAAAAAAAGAAGAAGTTCTACTTCTTCCATATAAATTCTACATTTTCCAGGTAAGTTTTACTTCTTCCATCTAAGTTTAGAGTCCTGGCAAACTATACATGAAGAAAGTGAGATTTAGAACATTGACACAATTTCAGAAGACCCTCCCCCCATGTAGTCATTAATGGAATCATAATCAACACTGAGGTGCTCAGTCTGTAATACCTTGTGCCTCTCTTTTCACTTGATTTCCTTTCTTATAAATACTTCATGCCCTCAAAATCTGGTGTGTTTCTTAATAAAAAGAATTCATTATTCCTAAGTAAGGTGAAGGTTCATGAAAATACTCAGTGAAGGTTTAGATTAAACGAACCACAATATCGAGGCACACTCTCAATAGATAACTGTTTTCTGTTGTAATAAACAGAAAATCCCAGAGAACAAATCAAGCAAGACAAGAATGGGGAGCTTGCAGAGCCCGGGAACTTTTATACTGCATTTAGAAAATGAATTGTATAAGTAAAAAAGCAAATGACAGAATAGAAATAGCACAATGTACTGGATTATAGTACCTCTTAAAATAAATAAATTGCATTAAAATTTCCCTCAGTAGAACAAGTTACTAATTTAGTGTCATAAAAACATTTTTTTCCAAAAGGCACATGCATGTCAGTTAAAATAGCACAGTTATCATTAGTGATACTTTCAATTTGTGGAGCATTTTTCTCCCTTAAAAAATTTTCAGAGCTTTTATGCCAACATAATTATAAAGTGCCTATGTCATTGGTTCTGAACTCGTTATCTAAAATTTCTGGAAAAAAACAAAGAATTCTTTTATCCGGATCCTGATTCAGCATGTTTATCTTATTTACTTTTAGTCACTGTGTTTCTGTTTACAGCATATGAAATACTCTCACCAGAACAAAGGTCCCAGTGCTGATAGGCAAACCTCAAACTCTGGCAGCCGAGCGAACAGCAGGAGCCAGAGCCCACTTGAATTGTTCACAGGCTTAGAAGTCAAGTTCAGACTTGATCTGCCTGAGATTCCTTTCAACCAGGATTTGTCATAGCAGGTAGCTGACAAGATTTCCCTGCAAGGACCGGCAACATGCACTGTGCCATCCAAAATGCAGCGGTGCTGGATGGGGCTCATTTGATGCAGATCTTCTGGCATGACGGCGCAGAGTCTCTCTACCCAGCTGTATGGCTGAGAGACAATTGCCCGTGCTCCGATTGCTACCTGGATTCTGCAAAAGCGCGGAAACTTCTCATCGAAGCTCTTGATGTGAACATCGGTATTAAAAGCTTGACGTTTGACAGAAAAAAGGTAATCTGCTCTCAATGATCTCTCCTTTCTCTCCCAAGTTCAATGAAGGGGCTAGTCTCCGATAACTTACACAATGAATTACTTTTCATTTGATCGTATGTATAGTGACATCTAGAAACACATGTGCTTAGTGCTTGGTGCAAAGTAAGCATGCTCAGTAAGTGTGAGCTTCTGTTATTGTTACTGCTATTTTTATTACTACTATTTTGAAGAAAAATTGCAGTATTGCTCATTATTCCTTCAGTATGTGGACAGTCTTGAAGACACAGGTGATTTCTATAATAAAAAGAATGCTTCTGGGCCTCAGTTTACTCACCTATAAAATAGGGATACTAACAGAACTTGTTCGTAGAGATGACGTGACGATTCAGTGAGATAATATGAGTAAAATGTTCAACGTGGTGTCTGGCATGTGGTGAGCACTCAGAAACGTGTATTGATTAATGTATTTTTAGTCAAATGCGAGGCTTGTTCTAGGATTCCCAAAAACATAGCTCTCAAAACTACAAACTGGATGCGGCCACCAGCCTGCGTTTCTCTCTTCCAGATTCACTAGGATAGTTATCAGAAGAGCAAGTGTGACCAGCGAGGTCATGGCTCTCCCCCTTTCTTGTCTTCATCTGGACTCAAGGACTTTACTCCCAGGGTTCACGGCTTGCGAGCTGTGTGACCTTAGAATTGTTTACTCTTACGTCCCTCACTTGAAAAATGTGAATACCAGCAGTACCTTCTTTCTAGAATTGTATGAGGACTAGATGAGTTATGTCTGCTGTGCTCGTTACACAGGATGCACTCCAGGTGCTGTTGTCATTGTTACTTATTATGATGATGATCTGTCTCATCATCATCATTCCTAGTTCTGATCCTCTTGGAAGGAATACTAAATCCAGTGGTGCCTGAATTTAAGTCATCACAGAAAGTTTGTAAACAACAGGTTTAGAGGACATAGAGCAAGAAAAGAACTTCCAATCTAGCCAGCTTTTATTTCTTGTGTGATATTTAAGGGACCTCAAACCACAGATGTATCCCCTTGGCTTTCAGTTTTCTTGTTTTCCAAAAGTGTATTCTATGCCTGTGAGTACATAAGTGAAAATAAGGTAAAACAAAAATAAAAGACTAAGGGCTAATTGGATCCCCTGAATATCTTAGATTGACATTCAAAAACAGAGCAACAGTATGGGCGCCTGGCTGGTTCAGTTGTTTAAGCGTCTGCCTTCGGCTCAGGTCATGGTCCCAGGGTCCTGGGATCAAGCCCCACATCCGACTCCCTACTCGGCAGGAGGCCTGCTTCTCCCTCTTCCACTCCCCCTGCTTGTATTCCCTCTCTTGCTGTGTCTGTCTCTATCAAATAAATAAATAAAATCTTAAAAAGACCCCAAAAGCAAAAACCAAAACAAAGAAATAGCAATAATAAACCAAAGTACATAGAAGCATACTATACATATACATAATTTCATATACATATGATATTTGCTTTCTGTGTTACAAGGTTTGTATCACGTGGCCAAATGAGCATTACAGCGAATTTGAAGCTGACTGGCTGAAGAAAAGATGCTTTTCACAGCAGGCCAGAGAAAAACTCCAAAGAGAGTTATTTTTGCCAGGTAACCTTGCCGTGGTCGTCAATGTCTTTTAAAACTTGTACGGTAAGAAATTTGCTCAGAGAAGCAAATTCAAACCCTTGTGCTTTGGTTAAAACATTATTGTAATTTATGCAGGATGTTTAATGATTTACCAACACAGATCGTTTGGGTAGAGATGAAAGGAAATAAAATTATGTGATCCCCGAACCCCATGGGATGGTATACGCGACACTGAGTGAGCACGGGGAGTGTGTGTGTGAGTGCATGTGTGCATGTGTGTGCATAGCAAGTTTGTGTGGGGAGAGATTAATGGGTCTCAAGAAAATCTGTAACCACAAAAATGTTCAGAAAATCTGCAGTAGTTGGATTTGGTGGAAAAAGACTTTATTCTTGAGCTGAGAGACATAATAAAAGAAATACTTAATACGAGTAAAAAGTTAAATATTGACTCTGTGTAAATTAAACATTTGTATCATAAGACTATGTGAGTCAAAGGCAAATTCTAAAAATATCATGATTCTTATGTATTTACCAGAATTTTGACTTCTACACACATACTAACAAGGCAAGTCTCCCTGAACTTTCTTTTCCACTGTTAACCAGATATATTGCACCAGCCTTGTTGAATTCTGTAACACCCCTTCTGAGGATTCTGGGTCACACACCAAGATAGAGATTTCACCTGCTCCTTTCAGATCTGAAATTCTCAAACATGTATAGTAAGTGGTTTTAAATGCTAGTTTCCTGGGTATGGAGAGGTTGCCAATTAAATAGCTTGAATCACACAGCTCCACCTTGTCCTATGGTTATCAACAAATAGGCATGATATTGTCGTCTTCCTGTTTAGGCACAGGCCATGTTGTCAAGAACTAGGTTCCTCTATATCCTTAAGTCTCATCCTTCTGACAACGGACGAGGTTTTGCTTTAGGGCTTTCTGTCTAAACTGCCAGGAATCCACTTTCTTCTTTACCTAGCTAGCTGGTGGAATCCAGATGGGCATCCAGGGAAAGACGTTTATCCTGCCTTTCCCCAGAGAGGGTATTGTTAGATTCTTCAAGGAGTCTCCAGTTACATAACTGAGTAGTGATTATCTGGGTCAAATAGCTGTTTCGCAAATGTATTATTATTTTTTATTTATTTTAGATTTCTTCTGGTACTCAAAATATTTTTCCTTAACTCTGCCCTAATTTTGTAATCCTGTTGGATTTTGCTTTCATTTCCTTCAAGTTCTTCTTTTGATTATTTCAGGGAACAAAAGCCAACATTTTATTATTACAGCTTAAGCTTTTAAGCATTGTAAAAAGATATAGCCACCCTCCTCCATTAATATTTCTTGACGAATGCAGTTTTATAGCTTACATTTCTCAGTACTATCAGGCAGTAGCAAAATGGAAATGATACTACACTCAGTTAAGTAGTGGAAAAAACCAGTCACACTGACAGGCTGCGGTCATGAATAATATAAGGAGACCTGGCTGCTATTTTGACACTGGAAAATACTTTAATGACTTAAAACAAGATCAGATTTTTAAAATATATTCTCAAGCTGTGCAGTTGGTGGGGTAAAGGAGAAAGCAACAAGCCATTTTTGGAGTATTGCTTCTATGGCTTTTTGCCTGCAGAATTTGACACCTTATCGTCCTCCCATCGCATATTTTCGAACATTTATACTCCAGAACATGCAAACAAACTCAGTTACATTTGTGAAGGGATTTTGTTTTTTGTCCTCAGTGGCCATGTTGCCTTTACTGCTCTTTCCATAGAATGAGGAAAAACTTAAAATCTGGCATCAAGATGCAGACCACTTTTCCTTGATCTTCCCTTGACACTAGCTGTCGAACTCAAAAATGAAAAGACATATGATGATCAGCCAGAAAAAGACTCTTGTCCATGGACAGCCACAGCTGGAAGGAAAGACATGGATAATAGTCATTCCCTCATAAATTTCTATTCAGTTGCACATATATTGGGCATCTATTTTGTGCCGGAAACTCTAAGGAAATACCAAGTTAAAAAAAGACACAGATTCTGTCCTCGAGCATTTATCACGTCTAAGAGGGGGACCCGAGCCATGAAAACAAGTAAGTATAATATTTTATTTTAAGTGCATGAAAGCATGCAGAGAAGGTTAATTATAACAAAGAGAAAGGAATCTGAAAAGACAAGAAAATAATCCTCAGAAACCAGGTGATACTGTGAGCTGGATTTTGAAGAAACAGTTTGTTAGGCAAAGATAGTGAGGAAATTCTCAACAGAGGAAAGGGCATGAAGAAAATCATGGATGTATAAAACAGGAGGGTAGGCTTGGAAACTGCAATTTGTTTAATATTGGTGAAGTTAAAATTGTTAAGGCAACATAGAAGAAGGAAGGGGCCAAACCATGAAGCGACTTCATGCCCTACTAAGGAGCTCAGTGCAAAACCCTGTGACAAGGACATTTTCTCACCAGAGAGCTCAGGTATATTCCCTTCCATTTGTTTTCCATGCTGATTCTCTTCCTATAGGGGCAAAGAAATGAGTTCAATATCTTTATAACTTTAAGAAGGTTGCTTTATTTTCTTGCGAATGCATTTTTCATCTTCAGAGTTATATTGGTCTAATTTTGACCAGATGCATATTATTTCTCAAATGCTTACAAGCTTGTGAATATCTTCTTAGCTTCCTCTTTCTCTGGTTGCATTCTCCCCTGCCCCAGTAGGTCCCTTTGGTTCTTGGTTTGTATTTATTTTCCAAAAGAGATTGGAGTGATCAGATTTGTGTTGGAAATTCTTGGTAATGGTCATCTGTATTGGATGGGCTGACATGGCGAGTGGGACAGGGAAGAGGGTGACCGTAGCATGGCCTAGAAATAGTCCTACAAGAGGCATTGAGAACGTAAGCTAGGGAAGTAGCAGAGATGATGGGGAAGAATTTGAATTCAAAGAAACATATTGGCCTATAGGATACGAGGTTGCTGGCCTTGTTCTCTATTCTCCACCAATTTAAAAGCTGACTGTTGAAGCCTAGCATGTAAATGTTTCCAAACATATGAATGAAAATTGAAAACTTTAATAAAACATTGGAAATATGAAGTATTTTATTAATGTAATTATCTTTTAGCTTCCATGTCAAATTGGAATGATTATACTCTCATTTTTGTACTTAATTTTGAGATGCAAAATTCCCAAAATATAATTGATAGGACTAAAATGGGAAAAACCTATATATAGTTTGATCTTATATATAGGAACCTAAATATTTTGCTCTTTTTATTAACATTCAGTGTCAGAATGAATGCTCGTTTTCCTATCTCTTTGAATTGGTACTACAATATTTGTATACTATTCTCTGACTTTAATAATATTTGTTATTTCAAATTGAGGTGTAGAAGATTGTTATTTGAAGAAAATCTTTTTTCCATGGAAGCAGTCTACACACTTTTCTCAGCAATCCAGAGATTGAGTACATTGCATAGTCAGAAAAGAACATTTCCCCTCAATTCAATATAGCAGAGCAAATCTTCACCTGCCTATTTAATTGGATTACCACCCATCATTTCATAGCTAAAGCCCCTCTTTTGTTTCAAGAGGCACATGCCACAGGAGGGAATCAAAACTCTCATGTAACTGTCAGGACCCTCTAAAATTTCTGTGCCTCTCACATAGCCGGGGTGGGGGGGGGTTAGGAGGGAAGCAGAGTTCCCCCTTTCTTGCCATGCATGTCCTTGAAAATGAAAATTTTTATTATGGCACAAAGAACAGGGTTGGTCTGGTGCAGGGGCTATGTTTACAGAAATTTGTCAAAAAAAGCAAAAATCACTATTTTTTTTAATTAGCAAGTAATGAACACAATAAGTATGTCTAACTCCAACTGATAATTCACCCATGTCCCTAAACCTTGCTCCACACTTCACCCATTCTTGAACCCCCAGAGGTAGGAGTCTGCAGTGCAAGTCAGGGGTGGAGTGAGGGTATTTGCTTCATATATTACTTGGTAATTATAAAAAAGTCTAGGAGCTTGTTTTTTTTCAGACTGCCTCAGAGGGCCCCAACTGGATCAGGGCTGCCAGGTCCTTATGGCTTTGGAAAAGCTCTGTGAAAACAGCTGCATCGGGGGAGCCTGGGTGGCTTAGTCAGTTGAGGGTCCAACTCTTGATTTCAGGCTCAGGCCGTGGTCTTGGGGTTGTGGGCCTCCTTGCTCAGTGGGGAGTCTGCTAGAGATTCTCCCTCTGCCCCTTCCCTGGATCATGTGCACTCTCTCTCTGATAAATAAATAAATCTTTAAAAACAAAAACAAAAACAAAACAACCCACTGCCTCAGAACAATCAAGCCACTGTGTCATGTACCCAAATGTATTGCCTTCCCAAGAAAGACCTAGTCAACATCATTTGCCTGCCATTATCCAGGTTCACACTCTGATGCACAGGTGGGAGATTAGCTCCAAGTCTTCGTATGTTTAAGAAGCAAGTCTCTGTTCTGTTTTGCCTATCCTATCTGAAATGGACCTACTGAGTTCCAGAGAAATGTCTTTGGGGTGTTGATGAAATGAATACAGGTATCTTCAAAGTCTGTGAGTTGACAAATGTGTATTTTGCTTAATTTTTCCTCTGTGCCATATTGATGTCTTCCAATGTGCCCTATTTTTTTGTGAATTACCTGTCATTTATTAGCCCACTCAATGTCTGCATTGTACTTGACAAACCTGGGGATAATAGCTAAAGAGTGTAACGTCCCTACATGGGATGGAGCATCCCTTGTCCTGTCAGTGAGCCCAAGGTGGGAGACTCACAGCTTGAGAAGAGCCCTGCAGTGCCTTCTATGCAGCAGATGCCACTGACCTGGAGGTTGTTCCCACAGCCATCTGCCTAGTTTGGAATCACTTCTAACTTTAGGTAAAATCTGCTTCCTTTCATGCTTTCTTATCTCCATCCATACTTCCAGCAAGAAAACACATAACCACATTCTCAGAGATAAATATTAAAGAGAAGTCTCTTTTACAACTGGATACATGACAGAAATGCAGAAAGAAAAAGAAAAAAAA